GAGAAATCAGTAGGTCATGTAAAAACAAAACCCGAAACCAGAACAATTTGGGGTTTATATACTTCCAAGAAACAAGCATTTTTGATTACCTATTGTATGTGGCTGTCGTGGAATACTTTTTCTTCCTGCTGCTTTTTGTGTGCGTGCAGGTGCCAGGTTTTATTCTAAATGTGGCTCATCTTAACTGAGCAGTTTTCTAATAGCCTCTAAATGGGATCATTAATGCATTGTGCTTCTCAGCCATTCAGCTTCGGGTGGGTTCTGCATTAATTACCATTTTTATCCCACAGCTATCTTACTTTGGTTTGTCCACATTCACTGACCATGTAAAATTAGATATCGGAGTTCCTGAGCGCGTTGTTTGCTGGGTCCTTAAGGATTCAGGAAACTGGGTTAGTGTGAGGGGAGGAACAGTGGGTGTCTATAAATGCATTAGGTCCTTCCCTTCCCGGGGTGATCGTTAGCGGTGTTTTTAAAGACTCCTTCCGTCGAGGTTGTTCCTCTGAATCTAGGCCAGACAAGTGATAGCTTTATGTGGTAAAAGTTACTGTTTTCATAGCCTGGGTGAAATGAGTTTTGTGGGTTTCAGTCAGCTTCTGGCATGGGTAGGCTGTTCCTGTTGGAATAACCTGCTGCAGCTGCGTGAATTCAGCAGGCTGGGTGTGGGACACGGCTGCCCTCGTACCCTTGCTGCTGGGGACCGTGTCTAGAGCAGTGTCATGGCTGTGGGCAAGGGGCTTCGTTCTCCAGCGTCATCAAACCTAGAGTGCTTCCACGTTACTAAATGTTTAACGTTTGCCCAGTGGTGGGTGGCGGTGCTTCTTGCTTATTCCAGGCTTGATAATCCTGTGTCTTGCTTTTGGTTTTGCTTTAAAAATGGCTATTCTCTCCTGCAAACTGTCCTGTAATCTTAATTTCCTTGTGAGTAAAAAAGAAGTAGTTCCTTTTCCTTTTAACACGTTCTCCATGTGGAGTGAAAGATCATGGTTCTGTGTCAGGTCAGTAAGTTTCTGTAAATCATCTTGACCCTTATTTCCTTATTCTAGGGGCTCGCATCTCTGCTCACAGTTGCTAATCTGAATGATCCCTGTTGAGGTTACTAATCACATGAGTAAAAACATATACCTGAAAACTAAATAGCTGTTTCTTCATTTGCTGCTTTTATCTGATTTTAGAGGGTTGCCCATGCAATTTCTGTGGTAGATTTGTTTAAGATGGAGTAAAGTTGGTGGAGTTGTTAGCAGGGTTAATAACTGGTTGTGACTTTCTTGGAGCAGAAATGAGTTCAGAAAGTCTTGAATTAATCCCAGACTTCCATTTAGAGAGCAACCTATAGCTGCAATCAAGCGCTGGGGAGTTAATAGGTAACGTACACATTTGAGCACAAGCTGCAGGAATAGGAATTTATAAATGTAGGGCTGCCCGCAAATTACAGCCTGCTGGCTGATTGCTTCTAGGGGTTATTGCATGTACCGAGTGACTGTGACTCAAACAGGAGTCTCAAAGGATCTTGAGCGCTGACATACCCTGCGTGCTGGGGTGTGGTGGGTCTTGTGGTGGGTGTTCCTCCTTTACCGGTGATGTTTGTTTGGGTGACTTCTCTTATCTAGCATCCTTAGAGGATTCAGCCTCTGGCTGAAGATGGCATTAGGAGTCTGCTGAGTGTAGTCTTTGCATCTGGAAGGAGGTGAGCTGCCACTGTGAGACCTCGTAGCTGTTCGTGACGTGGGACACTGTCTGCAAGCTCCTCTGATGCTGAATGATCCCTGCCGTGGGGCCTGCTGCAGCAGAGCACGAGGAGGGCAGCAGACGGTCGGTTCTGGGTTTGGTATCAAGGAAGCCCTGGAGTCCCCTCGCCATCACCATGAGCGTTGCCTGCTGCAGTGTTTGTCCCCCAGCCACGCAGCGGGGTAGGAGATGTGCTGTGGCACAAGCGTTGGTTTACGTCACCTCTTAGTGCTCCCATCCTGCGGGGGAAGAAACCTGTCCTGTAGTTACATCTGTCGTGTGCCAAGCGGAGCAGGGCTGCCTCCTCTGCCCGTTCCCCTTTGTAAAGTCTTTTGAGACTCTTCAACATTTTGGACGGGCAAAAGTGTCATTTCCAGCTCTACAGTTACACATTTATGTTATCTGGTTTCCCGTAGCCTTTGAATGACCATTCATTTTCCACAGGTACGAAGTGACGGGTGTTGAACTTCCTCGGCTGTTCTGCCGCTTGTCTAGGATCCCATCTTGATGAGTCTCACCTAGAAAACAATGTGCGCAGAAGTTGTTGTTACAGCCTCCTACTGACTCCCAGTGGGGCCAAATTCTTCGCAATAATAGGTTTTGCATGTGGCCGGTACCTTTGCGGTATCCTTGGGACAGCATTGTTCAGAGGAAGCCTTGCCTGGGTTTGAATAGCGCTGGGGGTGCCAGGAGGAAGAATGGAGGAAAAGGAAACGGGGGAGCTGCTGGTTTGTCTCGCATTCACATCAGATGACAGGAAGTGGAAATGGAGGCTGGCTGCGGTGATCTGCACAGCGCGGTGGGGCCACATCTGTGCGAAGAACTTCCAAGCTCTGGATAACCCACGTTGTTGCCGTAGTAAAGCTTTTTTACATGTTCTCACTTTTTTTTTTTAAAGACTTCAGGTTTTCCGTGACAGGTCTTCCTTCGGTGCTGAAGTCCTCTTGGCTTGGAGAGCTACTTGCCAAGTGACTGTTGATGCCCTCACTGTACGAACAACGTCGTAATCACAGCCTGAAATGTTTAGTTACACAAGATTTCAGTTCACAGCTGTTGCATGGAGAGCAGGTGAACTGCAGTTGTAAAAATTGCATGTATGGTTGGAAGGTAGCGTTTGCATCATCTGTGATCTAAGATTCTAAATAAAATAGGTTATATAGGTTGCTTCTAGACACTTAATGAAATTTGTTATAAAGGAACAACTACCGCTTTGCTGCTAAGAAAGTATTGTTTGAATGCAGAGGTTATCAGGAAAAAAAAAACAAACAAAAAAACCAACCAGAAAGCCTTCCCTTTATCAGGGCAGCTGCTAAACAGAATGCAAGGAGAATCATTGTTGCCCTTCCACTGCCTCTGTGATTGCTGAAAGGGGAACAGCATTCCGCTGGTACAGACTTCATTTCCGTGCTGCTGAGGTTGCAGGTGCTTTTCGTAGCAGTGTGTTTGGAGAAACAAACCTGAAGTGCAGTTGTGTGTTTTGGAGGCTGTGAAGGTTCAACACCTGGGGTTTTATGTATACCTCATGTCTCTGAAGTTAGTGTTTTCACTTGTGCATCTGTGACTGCTTGTTGAGGTGCAGTGGTGAAACCTCACTGCTCTGTGACCAGCTCCTACTTTTTCTTACCCTGCTCTCGCTTTTCTGTCTCCCCTCCCTTCTGAGCGGAGACCGAGGGTTCGCAGGCCCCTTGGAAGACCACAGTGCTTCTCCTGTATTCCAAAGGATGTGGGCAGCCTTCCATAATCAATTACAATGTGTTTATTCCCCTGGGAGATAACTTGGCCCTTCTGCGCTGCTCGTCTGAACACTTGCTGCACCTTCACCTCTTTAAAAGTGCATATCCTGAATGTCCACCGTGACCCATCCTGTGAGATGACTCACGTTCCTGGAACTCTCTTGCCTGCCTCCTGAAGCTTAACAAAGGGCTGAAGCCCTTTTCAAACATCCTATCGGGCTTTATTAGGAAAAATGTTGTCTGCCCTTCCCATTTGGACTGTCCCTGAAGGTGCCTGGTGCGTTTGGCTGTCTTGGGCCACTGCTGACCATTCGTGTCAGGACGTGCAGGGCTTCACCGGGTGCCTGGTGCTCCGTGAGCGCTCTGAGCTCTCCTGATAGGCTTTCAGAGCAACGCGTGTTATCTTGCAAGCTGAAAACTGGGCTTAGACTGTGTTGCTTGCTAACGAATGCTGTTCAGCTGATGAGGAGAAGATGAGTCCTGACTCAGGCACCCTTATAAACCCTCAGACAGTTCTGGAATGCTGGGGTGGGGTCAGGCAGGGAAACAGTAACAGGTGTCGTTTCCCTTGAGGTCAGCTCGTGTTGTTAAACGCTTCGATCCCAGGGAACCGAAAAACCCTGCGAAGCACTTTCAGGATGAGATGTGGGCTGTGCAACAAATGTGCTCCTTATTTTAAGTTGCTCAGCACGCTAGATACTAAGCAGACAGATTTGCTCTGGCTTTCCCCAATTTTATTGGAAACAGCACACTCACCACTGGATGGCAGGGGGATAACTGGCTGAATACTTATTCATGTCTGACTTTCGTGTGCGTGTTGCTGAAAAGCTGTCTGAGCCAGGAGCACGGGCAGATCTGGCCAGGATGATACTGAGGGCTGTCTGGTGCCTTTTTTTTTTATCTGGTCTACTGTCAATTCCTGGTTGCAGTTTGTTCTGCTTGTCCTGCTGCCTTCCTGCTTCCCCAGCTCTGCCGGGCGGGTGGGAGAGGGGCTGCGTTTCCATGTGATCCGGCTGTGTCCCTGTCAGTGCACCGGTGCTGATGGGCACGGGGAGGGGACCGGACTGGCAGTGCTTGTGTGGGAGAGGGAGGGAGGAACGCAGGGTGTTGCAGGCTAGGGCTTCTTGTGCAGGGAGAGGAATACAGAGGATGGAGCTTCAGGCGGTGACGTCAGGGCTAGGGAGGGGGGACGCAATGTTTGTGCTTGAAAGTCGGTGTGATTTAGAGAGGCAGGAGAAGAAGCCCCCCCAGGCCCCTTGGGAGCCATGGCATAATTGCCCAAAAGCCAACTGTTAATAGGCCTTCTGCGTGCCCTCAGCTGGCGCCGATGGCAGGGCAGCGTTGTGCCTTGGGGTTTTCGAGCAGCGGCTGGGGGAGACTGTCAGAGC